AAATCGAAATTTTGGAGATTTCCGAACTTTTATGGACAAATCAAGACTATGAAACATGCAGACTTGAAAACTGGTAAAAAAAAAAGGTGAGAAAATACATAAGCTTACTTTTACTTCTTTTACACTAATAACGATGTTTGGTTAATTATCCACACCAAAAGTTTTATGTTTTTACAAGAACTGTATTTTCATTCACAAAAGTCTTAATCATTTTTCGAGAAGCTTGAAAACATAAGCTTACTAGATTTTGAAAATTCAGTTTTACCAGTTTTCATCTTGTTAACAACAAACGTTTTTGAAAAACTAATAAGTTTACATTCATTTATTTTTGACAAGAACAACTGAGGCAAAATAGAAAATAATGCAAAATGCAATGCAAATACAAAATAAAATTTTCTTTGTCAGTACATTGGCGTTTGGAAATTTTTAAAATATTTTTCAGCTTTTGAAAGTGAAAGACAAGGTACCACTCTTTATACAATAACATATCTCACAACAACACAAATATAAGCTATTTTTTATAATCATGTACTAGGTCGAAAAGCTCAATAAATATTTGGTGTAATTATAAAACTCATTTAATATTTAGATAAATTATCTGTAGAAAAATATAAAATTATTGAATGAAATTCAAAATGAAAGTATTCTTACTATAATAACAAAACAGGTACACTTTTTTTGCACGTTTGTCAATCTAGTTCGTTGCTTGTTTGCCGGTAATTTTAGGAATGTTATTTAGCTTTAAACTTTGTCATAAATCTCTTGGATTTGCAGTTTAACTGTGGAATTCAAAAAGTGCTTTTTCAAATGATTATTTTATATCATGTATGAACTACAAATACTCTTACCATAAAAACAAAACAAGCACTTTTTTCGCTCGTTCGTCATGCTAGTTTGTTGCTCGTTTTCCGGTAATGTTGTAGCTATGTTATCTACACTAAATAAAACAAAATAGAAAATTGTCCTAACCTCTATCTTCACACTGTGGCAAATTCTTTTTTTCCATGATTTCTTYAATAATTTTTTGTTTCATTTTTACATTTACAAAAAAATGATAGTTAAAAAAGCTCGTTAAAAAAAGTCGTCATTTTCCAAGTGACGTGTGATTTGAAAGCTYGACCAATCAGAAACACGATGTACACCTGGTGGGCGACACTTTTAGCATTACACACAGGGTTCCCATGCGATGACCACAAAAAATGAGTTGCATAGTTTACCATATTCTATACCTATGGAGCTCCGCTCACGCACGCCTTCAGCCCACCCGGGAGCTCCACTATGAAAACTTCCCTATTTAATTTTGATCTATTGAATAATATAATAAAATTTCAAAAAAGATTAATTTACAATAGGACAGAGCTAGGTTCTAGTGCAACACACAAAAGTATCAAAACATTCAATAAATTATATTGGCATAGCATTCTATGCACAGGCTTATTCCTGCCAAACAAGAGTTTGCACACCTTAATTATTTGGTAAAACCAACCAGCTTTGCATTGAAATGTGTCAGTTTAATATACAGAACCTTTGCTTGTAAAATCTTATTATCATTATATATAAAAAATATATGATCATAAATATGCATTTAATATTCATCATATAGCATTATCTAGCCTCCAAAACACAGAGCGTAGTCTTGGGAGTCCACAACATATTTTGATTGCTAGGTGATGAAAAAAGTGGTAGAAAAGAGGACACACCATGAAAAACCGGTGGTACAAATTTTTTTTTACCTCAAAAAAATTGGTCAATTGATAAAAATGATAACTGGTTTCAATTGATAACAGTTAATTAATGCACCTGACACTGGAAACCCCCACTCTCCCAACCCACCCCAGAGGGGTATGGGGCATGGTTATTGAATTATTGGGGATTTGATCTATTGATTTGCCCGATGGGTTGGAGGATTATATGTGTTTTAGTATTTTGCCTGGCTTTTAGGGGTGGGGGATTTGTCAATTTTGAAAGGTGGAAGACTTGGGTGGAGGAATCTTGGCAGAGCAACCATGTGCTTAATTCTTCTTAAAATTCCAAGATGGAGAATCAAAATATAAGTAAAGTGAACACATTTTTGGTATGTTTTATATAAATATCTGAATAGACCCTTTCAGCTTCCTACGTCACCGATCGGTCACGTGGTCTGAAATGGGTAAACACACGCACACTTCAAGCACGCTTCAGCCAAATACTATTGAAGTGGAAAATTAAAAGCTTGAAAATGGTTCACTATTGTTGCATGTTCAATTGTTATAATAGTTCAAACGATACGACGCTTTCATTTCATGGATTCCCAAAAGACAAAAGTCTTCCAAAGGTGAGTTAAAATTCTTTTAGTTTTGTCAAACAATCAGGTGTTGACAGACTACAATGTCGTCTCTGAGGATCCCAGAGCGATATTTTTTCTCCAGAGGTAAGTTGAACACCGTAAATATGTACGCAAAGAATAGACATAGTATAGTAGCAATAAATTATGCGTTCGGTGTGTATATAATGAAGTGGAGAGAATAAGAGAAAAATAAAAATTTAGACGTGAACTCAAAATCTGCAGTCTTCAAAAAAGAGAGACCCCCTAAACTCGTTAAAAAATTTGTGATCTCCACCCAAATGTCATCTGCCCCCTCCCCCCTCCCTCCCTGCCATACATTACTATGAATGAAGGCTAATATATACTTAAAATCTTAATACAATTTTCCTTTTTCATTTATAGAGAGAGCAATGAAAGACCTCTATCAGTCAAAAGAGAACAACTTCAAAGGAAAAGAGAAATGCTTAAAGATGAAGAAACAGAATCAGCATCTGAAGGAGAAGGATTTTATGATATGGCTTCAGAATCTACAGCAAATCGTGGCAATCAAACAGATTTGGACATCCCATGTTCTSACCAACTATCAATAAAAATGTTAAAAACAAGGTGCCCTACTTCCAAAAAAGRAGAGAGGTTTTTCTCACATCACACTGGATTCAAAAACTACATGCAGTTTAAGGAATTTCTTGAATTTGTAGTACCGGGATTAAAAAKAGAAAACATTGTATACTGGGGAACAGACCAAGCACAAAATAATCGTATAGATACTTCAGCTTTGTTCAAGTCAATACAGGAAACCAAGCATTCAGATTCTGAGGACAGTRAAAGTGATGATAATTCTAGTAGTGGAGAGTTGGATGGTGATACTGAATATGGAGGGAATGGCAGAAGTGAAAATAAGGCAAGAAAACACAAGTTAGATCTGGAAGATGAATTTTTACTCTTCATGATGAGGCTTAAATTAGGACTCACTGTCACTGATTTGTCATTTCGTTTTAACATTGCTGAGGGATCTGTAAGTAATATAATAACAACATGGTTAAATTATTTGTATGTTCACTTAGGAGAGCTTAAGATGTGGCCCCACAGAAATATTTTACTTAACAATATGCCCTCAGATTTTAAAGAAAAATACCCCAATAATATCATTATCATTGATTGTACAGAACTCAGGTTTAGTAGTTTTTGGTTAGAAAAATACCCCAATAATATCATTATCATTGATTGTACAGAACTCAAGATAGAGACACCTTCACCTTTTGTAAAACAGTCACAGAGTTACTCATCATATAAGAGTACTAATACTTTAAAGAGCCTTGTGGGAGTTGATGCCAAAGGAGGGTTTATTTTTATATCACAGCTATATACTGGGTCTAYATCTGACAAGCAAATAGTAACAAGGTCTGGGTTTTTGAATATTCTAGAAAGGAAGTTATCACTTAGGGAAATATTACCTAATGACTCCATAATGGCTGATAAAGGTTTTGACATAGAGAGTGAATTAAAGGGTATTGGTTTGCAATTAAAKATACCACCATTTTTGGGCTCAGAAGCTCAGTTTCAAGAGTCAGATGTATTAAAAACTCAAACAATTGCTCAACATAGAATACATGTAGGAAGAGCCATAGGAAAAGTCAGGAGGTTTGGGATTTTTTCAAAGCCATTACCTATATCCTTACTTGGTACTGTTAACCAACTTTGGACAGTCTGCTGTGTAATAAGTAACTTCATGGACCCTATTTTAGAGTAGCAGTCTAATACCTGCCATCCTGTTGTTATACAATGAAGCAAAAGTGGAGCCTACAACACACTGATATGACAAGTTCCTTAACTAAGGGAATGATGAACTATTACAGGGAATGGAATGTGGTTTAAATAGGTCGTAATAGTTATCAAGGTGTAAACCCCATGTTTGAAATAAAACTTTTAAAACTTTGAACATTGTCTTGAAACACTTTATCAGCTGTATATTATTCCTTGCAAGTTTTAACCACCTGCATTTAYTCAAATGACTAACTTCTATTCAGGCATTCTGTACCACAACCACAATATTATTTGCATAACAGTAATTACTGAGGGTGTAACACTAAACAGTTTATCATACAAGGAACTGTATAGCATGCTTGAAATAAAAGTCTTTCAGTTTAGGCAGAACTTGATCACAGTATGCCTCATCAAAATAGACTCTTTGTACATTCATTTCTTTAGATGCTGTTAAATAGACTTCAAAATCACACCACCTTGCTTTTGACAAAGCAAGCTGTCCCTGCACTCGTGCATAGTATCCAGCCTTATGGTTCTTCTTTAAGCAGTACTTTCCATCAACAATCTCACAGGTAAACTTTGGGTCCTGACAAGCATCTTCAAAGGTCATGTCCCTCCAAGTGAAAGGGCATTTGATCTCTAGAAGCCCAAATGGCTATTTTTCTGTTGGATCAAATACTTTTGCATCTGGTGTTGCACCAAGGAAAGGCAGCGAAGGATTGACAGCAAGCCCTGCCTCAAAGACAGTGAATTTTCTGTTTTTCTTTTGCATTTCACATGCATATATAGCTTGTGCTTTCAGCCCATTTTGTCTCCCATGCCTTATTGACTCTACATTTGACAGGTCTTTAGGATCAAAAATGCTTTGCAAAAATGACTCGGTTGGTTTTTTCTTACGGTGAAGTACTGCACCAACATTTGAGGCTGTTAGTCTTTTCTTTCTTGCTTCAAACCATTCAGGAAGTAATGATTGTCCTACAGTTTTGTCAAAGAGTTCCTGAGCCCTCTCAAGAGTTAATGTTATAGATGATAAAACTCTTACTTCTTCAGGCGTAAGATTTTCAGGAGGCACAAAGGGAATATTGTCAATTGCACCTACTGGTAAACTAGGGAATGGCTTTACATACTTCAATACATCACTCTCACTTCTGATGTTTTCTTGTCGCCTATCAAACACAAACTGTATTTCTTCATTGTTTTCATCAAAAAACTGATAACCCAGGTATGACCCGATAGGAACATTGCCAATAGCAGTGTTAATGTTTCTGATGACAGTCTTCCAATGTTGATATTTTTGCCTCAAACTTTCATGTTTTAAAATAGAGCTTTGGACTTCATATTAATATAAAAGCTTGTCTACAATGATTTTTTAAAATGTGCAGCTTCTGTTCAGTTTCATTTTATATAAAGCAAATTCAAAAAATGCAATTAAAGAAAAATGATAAAAAAGGAAAGATATAGATAAATAAAATAAAATAAATAAACTTCAAGGCAGTGGGTGATTGAAAGAGTTGAGCGTATGAGACTTATATGAGTATAATATGGATAGGTATCGTAGATAGGTAGCAAAGGTACAGTAAATGATAAAGTATATCGTACAATGTATATTTAATTGAGAATAAAAGCGTTTCGAGTGAAGGCAACATTACAAAACATGAGCTCATCCGTTGCGGTGGTGTGGTGGGGATTAGTATACGAAATTGCACGATCTCGAGTATAATTTGGAAATTAATAGACACGAGTAATGTTTTAAAAGTTCTTGTAATTRCACAAACCTTTAGAATAGGTAATTAGTAAATTAGTTTTCCCCCATAGTGGGGGACTTTGTTCATGTTTGTTTGGGGGTTTGAAATAAAAAATGTCCCCTCTATATAGTGCATTATCTTAGTTTTGTTTTGCTTTATGACTAATGCCCCAGACTTCCCTAGGGTGGGGGGGAGGGGGGGTGGGGGTTTTCAGTGACAGGTGCATAACTAATAATAATATTAAGAAGACATAACTAGCTGAAAACTAGTGTGAGCTGCGTCGGTGTTTCTAATGAAACAGTAATGATAAAAAGGTAAATCATACACCGTGAAAAGATGAAAAAACTTACTGACTTCTTTCTCTTTTACTCCGATGAAGGACTAGTGTCCAAAACATCAGTAAGTTTTTTCATCTTTTCACAGTGTATAATTTACCTTTTCATCATTACTGTTTAATAATAATATTGATAGCAGAAAACTGAGTGAGATCAATCCATAGAAATTAATACAAAATTGATACTAGTTGATACTAATTGCTACTAATTGATAACTTGCCAGTGGTTTGAGAGATTTATGTAAATAAATATAGCGATATTCACTGACAAACATTGACGTCAGGAATCTTTTTCATTCAAATTTGCCAATCATTAAAACAAAAGATCTCTTTGTTTCAGTAGTCAATAAGCTCTGGCTGGCACATTAATATCAATAGGTGAGCTAAGCGCAGACTTCGTTATGTACTGTTCAATAAACTCGCAGAAGTGTTTAATCAGGATTTAAAAACAGTACGAGGCGTAGCCGAGTGTTTATAGACCTGATAACACACGATCTGCGAGTTTATTGAACGGCTTCAAAAACTGATGATGTATGTTCTCATATTGTACTGAATTCTTTACAAAATGAACCAAGTTTGATAGAGAAAATCCAAGTTAAAGTTTATGCAAATGAAGACGAATCTATATCAGATATAAAATCACCTTCATGGTCATGATTTCTATTGTGTTTCCAAAAGAATAGCTACTAGACAACTTACCTTGTAAGAGACTTTCTTTTGTTATTGCGGTTTATAGCCTATCATGCATGCACAAGATGTTACAGCAACCTATCGTATTCGTTTTAAAACGCCACTAGTAAGACCGTCGATAAGACAAAGCCTTTCCATTAACGAGAGCAAAGTAGACGCCTATCGTGTATGGATGCATCAGGTTGGCATTCGAAGACGTTCGAAGGAGCTACATATATAATACCCATGGGAGATACGGCCAAGACGATGGTTAATCGAAGAATTATATATAAGGATCTGAAGAACTCTACAAAGAAAAATCTTTGAAATCTACCTTGGAACCATAGTTACCATACAAAATGGCGACCAAATTTTGCAATGATAATGCGCATGCGCCAAACTATGCCGCGGTCACCTGAACTATGCCGCGGTCACCTGAACTGACAAGTAACTTCATGCCGGGGAGGGAATTGAATTCAGAAGGGAAGAGAGAGGCTATTGAATTACACGTTACTTAAGAATAAATGCAAGCATACATTATACAATGTCCCTGGGAAGTTATATAATTTCCCAGGGACATAATATAATGTCACCTACTTGCAAGAAGGTTGTCAGTACAAGAATAGAACATTTGTAATTTAGTGAGAAGGGAATTCACTAAAAGACAAAAGAAAAAGTTCAGCTTCAGTGATCTTCTTTTGTTTTTTAATATAATTCCTATCCCACTAAATTACTAATGTTCTATTTTCGTATGACAACGTTGTACTTGCAAGTAGGCGTATACACCTATTCATTTTATACTATTTATTTTAAAATTGTTCACATTTCCAAAGTAAGCATTACAATTCACAGATCGTACTCCCCCATCTTTACACTCCCTAAACTGGTTGTTATCGTTTACATTTTCTTCTTCCTGACCAGAGTATTTGACTTTATTAGCTACGGGGGCATCGTAAAAGGTATCTACAGTTCCTTGCAGAATTTCGGATACTTTCTCTTCAACTTCTTCGCTCTTTAACTTCTTCGCTCAGTTCTAAATTCGCACGTCGTACTTCTTCGTCACATACGAGGTGGGTCTTTCTCTGAGCAATTTGTTTGTCAGGACTGCCTGACTTCACGTCTGCTTTGTTCTCTCTCCAATCGTCCATGCCCAAAAGTTCTCCCACAACGTCAAAATCAAATTGGGGCACCGAAAAACTTGACTGGGTCAAAAATATTTCATCATCGCTTAAATCATTTTGAAAAGTCGGCATAATGTACTCGCATTAACTTAACAAAGATAACTGATTTTGTTCGCGTTATTTATATCCACTGTCCTTAAGACCACACTAGTTTTTAGCTAGTTATATCTTTTTGTCCTTAAGACCTAATATTTCTAAAACAAAGGCAAGGATGTGAACATACCATAGAATAGTAATTAAAAATCAACCACACCCTAAATCCATTGTTTGATGTAGGTTCTTAAATTCGGCGGAAAACCCAGAGGAGAGCGGGGCTGATAAACCCGGGATAGGTTTTTAATTACTTTTCCTTATACTTGCCCGAGAGAACGCAAGGTATGAAAACAATACTATTTTTATTTATAKCGGAACAATATAGTGCAAACGCGGATATATTGTACTCTATTTCCAAAAGAACAAAGCAACAGTAATCTATCTCTCTGAATTTATTATAATTTAGTATTTCGTGTTTTGCATTGAAACAATGGAATTTAGGGCTTAGTTGATATTTTAAACCATTTCAAACGCACGGGCTCGGTTTTGCATTAGAATTCAAGACCTCGGGCCTGCGGCCTTCTGTCTTGAATCCTAATGCAAAACCTCGTCCTAGCGTTTGAACCTTTATTTAAAAGAACGCGATAACCTATTTAACGAAATGAAGAAATTTCGTAACAAATATTCATGCTTTCTTAAAACTCATTCTCCATGTAAACAAATGTGTATTAATATATACAAAGTATTCCACCGAATTTAAAACTATGCATTACAATGTCTAGTTGTAAATTCGCCATTTTGAAAGTGTTTGAGAAGAATATTTTCTTTAGTTGTTTGTTTACTTTCTACCTGACTAGTTATATTGTACATAAGTTGGAAGCTTGCTGTCCTGTATAGCCCTTATAGGTTATTATAGCGAGCTTGCATCTAATATTCAAGGTAATAGTTGAATGTAATTTAAAATTTGTAAAAGTGATGCAAATAAAACATTGTCATTGTCATTGTCATTGTCATTTAGATAATCTTGTTACCTATGAACTAAGCCAGTTAGTTTCCCAGTTAGGGCAAGAAACCCTAGCAGTGGTTAGGGTTAGAAATCCTAGCAGTAGTTTAGGGTTAAATACCCTTTGAGGATAGAAACCTACAAGTAGTTAGGGTTAGAAACCCTAGTACTAGCTGGGGATAGAAACCCTAGCAGAGATTAGGGTTAGGGTTAGGGTAAGGGTTTGAAACCCTAGCAGTGATTAAGGTTACAAACCCTAGCAGTGGTTGGGGCAAGAAACCCTAGCAGTTTTTCAGGATTAGAAACCCTAGCAATAGTTTAGGGTTTATAGAAAGCCTTGTGTGCAAGAAACCCTAGCACTAGGTTAGGGTTAGTAACCCTAACAACTCCTAGGGTTTCTTGCCCCAAAGGGTTTCCATAAACCATAAAGTACTGCTAGGGTTTCTAACCCTAACCACTGCTAATGTTTCCATTAACAACCGGTGCTAGGGTTTCTTTTCCATACCATTCCTAGAGTTAACTACTGCTAGGATTTCTATCCCCAAACTACTGCCAAGGTTTCTAACCCTAACATCTGCTAGAGTTTCTAACCCTAACCACTGCTAGGGTTTCTATCCCCAACCATTGCTTGTGTTTGTAACACTAACAACTCCTAGGGTTTCTATCCCCAATGGGTTTCTATAAACCCTAAACTACTGCTAGGGTTTTTAATCCTAACATCTGCTAGAGTTTCTAACCCCAACCAGTGCTAAAGTTTCTTGCCCCAACAACTGCTAGTGTTTGTAACCCTAACAACTGCTAGGGTTTCTAACCCTAACCAGTGATAGGGTTTGTAACCCTTACCACTGCAAGGGTTTCTTGCCTCAACCCGTACTTCCGTTTTTAAGCCTATCCACTGCTAGGGTTCCTATCCCAAACCACTTTAAGGTTTGTAACCTTAACCAGTGCTAGGGTTTCTAACCCTAAAATCTTCTAGGGTTTCTATCCCGAACCAGTGCTAGGGTTTCTAACCCTATCCACTACTAGGGTTTCTTGCCCAAAGGTTTATAGAAAGCCTTTGGGACAAGAAACCCTAGCAGTAGTTTAGGGTTAAAAATTCTAGCAATAGTTTGGAGATAGAAACCCTAGCAGTAGTTTAGGGTTTCTAGAAAGCCTCTGGGGCAAGAAAACCTAGGAGTTGTTAGGGCTACAAACACTAACAATGGTTGGGGAAGGAAACCTTGGCATTGGTTGGGGCAAGAAACCCTAGCACTGGTTGAGGATAAAAGGCCTAGCAGTGGTTGGAATTGCGAACTCTAGCAGTGTTTGGGGCAAGAAACCCTTGTTCTGGTTGGCGATAGAAACACTAGTAGTGGTTAGGGTTACGAACCCTAGCAATGGTTGGGAAAAGAAAACCTTGCACTGCTGGTTAGGGATTGAAACCCTAGTAGTGCTTAGGGTTAGAAACCCTAGCAGATGTTTTGGTTAGAAACCCTTGAAGTATTTTAGGGTTTATAGTAACCCTTTGTGCAAGAAACCCTAGTAGTGGATAGGGTTAGAAACCTTAGTATTGGTTGAGGATAGAAACCCTAGCAGTGGTTAAGGTTACAAACCCTAGCAGTGGTTGGGGCAAGAAAGCCTAGCAGTTGTTGGGGCACGAAATCCTAGCAGTTTGTTTAGGATTAGAAACCCTAGCAGTAGTTTAGGGCTTCTAGAAAGACTTTGGGGCAAGAAACCCTAAGAGTTGTTAGGGTTACAAATACTAGCAATAGTTGGGGCAAGAAACCTAATCACTGGTTGGGGATAGAAACACTAGCAGTGGTTAGGGTTAGAAACCCTAGCAGATGTTAGGGTTAGAAACCTTGGTAGTAGTTTGGGGATAGAAACCCTAGCAGTAGTTTAGGGTTTCTAGAAAGTCTTTGGGGCAAGAAACCTTAGGAGTTGTTAGGGTTACAAACACTAACAATGGTTGGGGAAGGAAACCTTAGCACTGGTTGGGGATAGAAACCCTAGCAGGGTTAGGTTAGGGTTAGGAACCTGTGAGATCTAGTAGATCAAGCCGCCATTGCGGCTGTGACTTCTGTTTAATATGCAAAATTCCATACAAAGACCCCTGACCTAACATATAACTTTATTAATTATATCACATCTCCCTTTCCATATAACGTTAAAGTGGGGCTATAAAGTGTCAGTATAGAATGTTTCTAAAGTGATAACATCAAATAACATCAAATAACAACAAATGTACTCTCCTCTTCGTCCTGACCTCCTTCGTAAGTTCTCCTGAAAGAACACCGAGCGTCCTTGTTGGCATTGTCAGTTGCTCTCCTTATGTGTCGCCGGTTGCGACGATACTTTCGTCCTCCTGCTTCTACAACATATGACCTGGGCATGGTGGTGTTCGACCACTACAGCTGGGGTCCACGTCTTGGTCATTGGATATAAAGCAATTCTGACTTGTTCTCCTGCCTCCAGTGGTGTTAGTTCTCTGGCTGCTGATTTGTCATGATAGTACTTCTGTTTGGCCTTTTACATGGTGAGATAGCGTCTCACTTCTTGTGAGCTGTATGAGGTTGGTCTGAGTATGGCTGATGTTGGTGGAAGGACATTTCGAGGTCGCCTTCCCATCAGTAGCTGAGCGGGTGATAGGCTGAGTCCTTCCAGGGGTGTAGTCCGGTAATCCAGTAGGGCCAAGTGCTTGTCAGTTGCTTTCTTCCAAAGTTGCTTTACTGTCTGTACAGCTCTTTCTGCTTCACCATTGGAGCTTTGGAAGTGGGGACTTGAAGGCTTGTGAATTATTCCATACTCCTTGCAAAACCTGGAGAACTCTGCTGACATGTATTGGCTGCCACAGTCGCTCCTTAGAACTGTGGGAATTCCATGTCTTTTGAATTGTGATTTGAGTGCTTCAATCACTGATCTGCTTGTAGTGTTTTGTAGCAAGTCTACTTCTATGTATTTGGAGTAGTAATCCACTGGCAGCAAGTATGTTCTGTGATCATACTCGAACAGATCAGTACCAACTTCTGAGAAGGGTAGGTCTGGTGGCGCTTTACTTGCTAGCGGTTCTGGCGGAAGGCTCTTCTGAAAGTCAGCGCACTTTCCACAGTTCTTGACCGTTTGCTCTATGTCTGCATTCATTCCCGTCCAGTACAGGACATCACGAGCACGCTGTTTGCACTTCACCATTCCTAGATGTGACTTGTGGATCAACTTGAGCATCGATTGTTGCATGCTGGGGGGATAACTAACCTCATTCCTTTGTAGACTACCCCGTCGAGAACAGCTAGTTCACTTCTTGAGTCCCAGAAGGGGCAGACCGCTAGGGGTAAGTTTCCCTTTGTGTCCGGCCATCCCTTGTGAATAATATATTGTAGTTCCTTGAGCTCTCTTTCAGTGCAAAGCCTGCAGTTCCTTGTATTTGTCCTTGGTTATCGACACAAAGTCAATGGCACTCACTTGTTCTAGGTCAATGTCCTCAGGTTGCTGCTCAGCCAAATAGGCTCTCGAGAGGGTATCCGGTGCGGTCATTTCTTTTCCCGGTTTGTAGTGGACAATCAGATCGTACCACTGGAGATTCAGCAGCATCCTCTGTAGACGCATCGGGGCTGCTAGGAGGGGTTTCTTGAATATCTGCTCCAGCGGTCGGTGGTCATTCTAGACTGTGGTCTCCTTGCCGAAGATGTAGCAGTGGAACTTCTTGCACGCATGTACTATCGAGAGCATTTCTTTTTCGATCTGAGCATAGCGGGTTTCTGTGTCCGTTATTGCTCGCGAAGTGTATGCTACCGGTTGCCCGTCTTGTATCAGCACTGCTCCCAAGCCGCTTTGAATGGCATCACAGTGTATTTCTACTGGCTTGCTAGCATCATAGTATTTCAGCAAGGGGGCTCTGCACATTGTTGTTTCAGGGCTGTAAAGGCTGTTTCCTGTTCAGCTTGCCACTGGAAGGGCACACCATCTTTGAGTATGCTTCGTAGGGGAGTGCTGATTTCACTTAGGTATTTGATGAACTTTCCGAGATATGTCACTAGTCCTAGGAACCGCTTGACATCTTCTTTGCTTTGGGGTCTGGCATGTTCTTGATTGCCTCTACTTTCGCTGGGTCTGGACCGAGTCCTTCTGGAGTTAGAATATGTCCGACGTACGGAACCTGAGGCTGTCTGATCTTGCACTTGTCCATGTTTAGCTTCAGATTGTAGCTGGTGGCTCTCTGTATTACCTGCTTCATTATTTCATCATGTTGTTCTACGTCACTTTCGGCTACTAGGATGTCATCAACAATTGCATATACCCCTTGTATTCCTTGATGCGCTGGAATATCTCTGGCGCGCACTTCAAGCCAAATGGGAGTCTGAGCCATCTATACCGTCCTATTGGGGTGTTGAATGTGGTCAGCAGTGATGATTCTTCGTGTAATCTGATCTGTTGGAATCCACTTTTTGCATCAAGAATGGAAAACACTTTTGCATCTGGAATTTCTGCTACTACTTCCTCTATTGTTCTCATGGGATAGTGTTCGCGTTTTATTGCTTCGTTCAAGTCCCAAATATCGATGCAGATACGAATCTTGTCGTTTCGAAGAGTTACTACCATAGAATCGACCCACTCTGTTAGTTGCTCAACCTTTGCAATTATTTCATCTTTTTAAATTTGTCGTAGCTTGTCAATGGTTCTTTCTTTTAACAATGCTGGTAGACGTCTGGTTGGATGTACTACTCCTTTGACGTTGGGGTCTGTCTTGATGGTATACGTTCCTGGTCGGGTTCCTGTTGTTTGCGCAATTTCTGGGTATTCCTCTAGTCCCGGTGCAGTATCATTGCTAGTAGTCAGATGGCTTGAGTCCTCTGTGCTGCTTGATGATATCCTGGTTATTAGTCCCAGTTGCTCTGCAGTATCTCCTGATAGTATGTTTTCTTGTATGAGGTCTACTATCTGGAAGCTTGTTTCAATCGTGTAGTCCTTGCACTTTACTGGCAGTGTTACCATAGCAACGGGTTTGATCTGATGGTTCGAATAGGTTCGAAGTACCTTTGCAGACTGGGTGAGTTCACCTTGGTGCTTAATTTTCTGGTAGTCTGCTAGTGTAAGGTTGTTACAATGGGCCCCAGTGTCAATCCTGAACATTAGTTTGGTCTTCAGCACATGCATTGTGGCTGTCCACTTGTCATTGGGCTTGCTCTTGAGTGGTTGGGCTGCCTTGATTTCTAGAATATCGGAGGATTCTTCTGGGTCAGAGGTGATCCTTATCGAGTCCATGTTGGCCTCATCTTCTGGTCCACTATCAGAGCTGGTTGTTACAGAATGTACCTTCAGTCGACGCTGACAGACAGCCAGCCAGTGGTTGAGCACGATGATCCTATAGCTGGACATTTGCCTTGATTCCAGCTGTGCTGTGGATTCTTTACCACACTTGTTGCACTGACTGGTGTCTTCCTTGGTCGGATTTTCTTTCTTTCCGCTTCTCTGTTTCTTTTGTGCTTTTCTGTTCCATCCCAGCTTCGAGACTTGCGGGTCCTCATCACGTACGAGCCTCATCTGTTGTTGGGACAGTCCGAACTGTTGTCCAATAGCTATTCGCTTTCCCCAGCGTTAGCTCTTCTCCTTTGTCTAACAGTTTTTCTTGTAACTTCCTTTCGTATACACCTTCGATGATGGTGTCTATCAGTGTGTCGTCCGCATCATGGTACTCGCAGTCCATCAATATAAGTCTCAGGTCGTTGACAAAATTGTCGAAGGACTCTTCTGCTGTTTGTTTCCTCATTCTTAACTTGTGCCGAGCTATTCGCTTGTTCTTTCGCGGTCGAGTGTAGTTTTCAAACTTCTCAAGCACTTTGATTGGTTTTTCTTTCTCTCCGTCGTTCCGGTCAAAGGTTTTATAGATTTCTCTTCCTTGAGGGCCGATCCAAGTGCCCAACCAACCAGCTTTTTCTTTGTCACTAAAGCTAGCTAGTGGTTCAGCAAACACGAACTCAACATGACTTTTGAATCGGCTAAATTCTTGATATAAGTCATCGCTGTTCCAATCTATTTGTGGGTACTCGAAGTTGACGTTTGTCATTTTCAGAATTTGTTTGGGTTCGTTCCGGATGGCTTCGTTTTAGCGTGGATTTGTCTTGGGTTCTGACACCATGTGAGATCTAGTAGATCAAGCCGCCATTGTGGTTGTGACTTCTGTTTTATATGCAAAATTCCATACAAATACCGCTGACCTAACATATAACTATCTTAATTATATCACAGAACCCTGGCAGTATTTTGTGGATAGAAACCCTAGCAGTTGTTGGGTCAAGAAATCCTAGCAGTTTTTTTTTAGGATTAGAAATCCTAGCAGTAGTTTAGGGTTCTAGAAAGACTTTGGGGCAAGAAACCCTAAGAGTTGTTAGGGTTACGAACACTAACAGCGGTTGGGGCAAGAAACCTAAGCACTGGTTGGGGATAAAAACCCTAGTAGTGGTTAGGGTTAAAAATCCTAGCAGTAGTTTAGGGTTTATGGAAACCCATTGGGGATAGAAACCCTAGAAGTGGTTAGGGTGAGAAACCCTATTAATGGTTGGGGATAGAAGCATCTGCAGTGGTGAGGGTTACAAACCGTTGAACTGGTTGGGGATAGGAACCTTAGCAGTGGCTAGGGCTCCAAACCCTAGCAGTGGTTTGAGATAGCAACCCTAGCAGTGGTTAGTTAATAGATAATTACTGAGGCACGCAGCATTCGTAGGTATAATGGAGGCAGCTGAGGGCGTAGCCCGAAGTAGTAGTTTAGGGTTAGAAACCCTAGCAGTAGTTTAGGGTTTCTAGAGAGCCTTTGGGGCAAGAAACCCTAGAAGTGGTTAGGGTAACAAACCCTAGCAGTAGTTTAGGGTTTATAGAAACCCATTGGGGATAGAAACCCTAGAAGTGGTTAGGGTGAGAAACCCTATGTTAGGGATACAGGTCATAGCAGTAGTTTAGAGTCTATAGAAACCCTTTGGGGCAAGAAACCCTAGCAGTGGTTATGGTTAGTAGTATAGGGGATGGGGGTTCCAAAACAGTGACCAATGGAGGATTACCCGTCTAAAGTGAATTCCTTGGTTCGTACCGCGATTACCCGCATCCCGTGTCTATTTAGTTAAATATGTTAGTCTATATATGAAGTGTGAAGATTGTAAAGAGTTTGCTTATGACTTTTGTGTAAAGTGCTTGAAACCCAAGTTTGTGCCCCAACCACCAAGGAAGCTTGTTTGTTGTGGTAAAAAAATGCAAATAGAAGATGACACGTCGGCACAGTGTTACGAGTGTGGTAAGAACATTCGCAATGCCGTACCAAATGCTACCAGAGAGCAGTATTACGCCAATGGAGGTCGTAAGAAAACGCCTTATAAGAGAATAAAATACTTTAGAGACTGGATGAGTCACATCCAAGGTCTTCGACCGGTATATTTAGATAACAAAGTAATGGAAGCGCTTAACTTAAAAGAACCAACCCCGCAAAGCCTAAGGAAGACATTGAAAAAATTAAAACTAGGGAAATATTACAAAGGTATTCCCTACCTTTTGTCTGAAATTACCGGCGACCCTATTCCAGAAGTGTCTGAAGATACTATGAGCAGAGCCGAGTGGATGTTTTGTCGGCTGGATAAGGATATTCCTTATTACCCTGACGTAATTTACGAAATATTTTACGAAATAGACCCCAACCACCCCCTGTTAGGATGGGTTCCGAGAAAATAAAAATGCAAAACTGGCGTTTGTTTTGCCAGAAACCCCACTGGGGAATGCATCGCGCAGAACACCAAGCTATCCCCAGTGGGGTTTTTTTGCATTTGGGCTTACGGGGCTTATTTCATCCCGCGCCAGAGGCCCTCTAGTACATACACATATATCTTTCTTACGACCCACCAGAGGGTGAACTCCGGACAGCGTCCCGAGACACCCCCTGACTTTTCCAACTTTTCCTCGCGAAACCCCCCGTCGCGGGGTTGAATCGCACTTTCTATCTTTCCTTACCCACCCCTCCCACGGTTGCTGTGAGTGGGGGAGGCTTTTTTTTTCACTCACAGCAACCGGTCCAAATGTGTCTGCAGCAAGGCTTGAACTCTGGGCCTCCCCAGATCCAAAGTCCAAGAACACAAGCGAACGCCAGACACACAGGACGCTTACGTATGTGAAAATTATTATATTTATGTCTTGCACTCTAATTTGCATATGACCCAGACAGCCGGCGTTCAATATGTAAACGAAACCCTGTCACGCTTTTTTCAAAGCAGATGTTTACTGAGCAAGCTTTCTTTGAAGCTCCTCTTTCGCTTCTTGGTAGATCTTTTTGCGAGATTCCTCGGAAAGATCTTTTACGACTGTTTTTTTATTCCTCATGTCCGTTTTTAGTTTCTCGTATTTGTCTTCTTCGGCCAGAATAAGCGAGAATTCTATGTCGTCTATCTTTCTGTCACGCAAAGCCTTTGAGACAAGGTCAGTGATCGTATTTACTTTAGCCCTAGACAGAGCTATTGTCGTGTCATGCTTGGATATTTTCGTGGATAGCTTTTTCATAATACCCGTAGCGACAGCAGAAATAATACCACAGGCTGCCCCAACACCGGCCAAAGGAACTCCAACAATTATTCCCAGCCCAGCAAGCGAAGTAGCAACGCCGGAGCCCTTTAACACAACAGATATGGATCCTGAAGTTATCGCAATCTTATGTAGCGTACTCCGGGCTCTGACGTATTTCTTCCTAACTTTTTCGTAGTGTTTTGTCTGCCCTTCCAAGTAAGCCAGGATTAAATTTGCTTTATTGAGCCTGAAGTTTTTGGCATTCATTTCGTTAGGTTCCTTAGGAAGTTCAGGATAAAGTGGAGGTGCTGATGGTATAACATCTATTATATATACTAATGTACGACGCTTTTGGGAATGATATTGAGGAGCAGCCACATCATGACAACCGAGATTACTGGAATTGGAGAGCATTTAGGAAGATGTTTCCACATGCAGACCCTAGTAAGTTCGAAAGAAGACCCGATGGGATTTACTTCAACGGCGAAAGAATGTACAGCAATGCGGACTTGGAGCCAAAGGCGACCGCCAAGCATCCTAAGATTTTACCACCCGGCTATGTTAAACCAAAACCCGTGCATAAAGAAAGGCTACCTAATTTTCCAAAGAATCTATTAATAACCAACCAGGATTACCCATTTTACGATGCTGAAGGTGGCGTAAACGACTTTGATAAGATGGTAACGCATTTGAAAATTCCAGTGGGCAAGCAAACGTTTGACGTAGTAGTAAGGAATATCTTTAAGGATTTTAACCTTACGCACACTTCAGGAAAAGAAGCCAGAGAATGGTTAAAGGGACCTAACTTTAAATATTGGACGCAGCAGTTAAACTTTGCAGTTTGGGCGGCTACGAAGGGCTGCGGGGTTGCCGTGGATATGTTTGACACTGCCTTTCTAAGGTTTCATGTGGCTTTTACTATGCGTCGCCTGTTGAAGGAGCTTGACGTACCATTACCGGGGGAGAAGCTTTTTAATAGAATGAATAACCACTACGATTCCGCTGCCCTAGAAAGGCTAATGAATGAGTTTAAGCCGCAGCAAAGAGACTTTCGTTATCGGGAGGGTGCCACGCATGGTTTAGGTATCATTTATCTTTACCATC